GATCCTTTACTCATGAAGCATCTTCTATTTTTTCTTCAAACACTTAGACTTCTGCTCAAAAGTAATTCCCTCAGATCTCTTCAATTTAAAGCCTTCTTGCAATCATAATTCAATGTTTATTTTCTATGCATGACCAAAGTCCATGTGTGTCAAGTTTATGCTTACAAATCTAATAAGACCACAAAAAAAGAGACCCAATATCATAAAGAATTCAAATCCCTCTACTTGCTTTTAGCTAGTTCAGCCTAGTTTTCTATTATTTAACCTTAGACTTCCTCCACAATAGTCACTGTCTGGACTAATGTGGTTCCTCTAACGACAGTACCTTTCTCTCTGGTCAAATTTTAAATAATCTTAAACACTTAGGGCCCAGAAGAATGACACCTTCTCAACAATCAAGTCTTCTGATAAATCCCTTGTATCTGAGAGTCAGGAGCCTTTATGCCCAGAAGCTCCCTCACTTCATGCATGTCTGGCTCTCCAATGGTGGACATGATCCTTAGGAACACATTCTGGATCCTATAGTGTGCTTCACAGAATGTTCGCCATATAGCAAATATAACTTCATATCATTATTTTTTGTGCTAAATACAGCTAGAAACAATTAGCTTGTATTGAAAACTATGTCAAAAAATGAAGAAAAATATGCTTGGAAATAAAACAAATACCAGCCTTAAACTTAAAGGAGTAAATATACTGATTTCATAATGATTTAAGAGGCACTTGTCATTTCAGGTACAAAAATTGTATAACTTAATAAATTATATGTCAATAAATTTCACACTCACTCTGGTGGGCAGATAAAGCAGACAGATACTTTTCAGGTGTTTTACAAATGAGGATATATTTTAAAGAGTTACTTGTCCAAACTCATAAGCCTTGTAATTACAACTGGATATAAAAATCAAACTCCAACACTGTAATTGTCAAATTCTTTTTCCCAATTTTAAAGATGAAACCTAATTGTGTTTCTACAACGGAAGTGACAAATGTGAAGTCTGTGATAAACTTTTAGAAACTGTGTGTGTGCCTGTCAGTATACAGGAGTGCAAGCACACAGGATGTGGCACAAATGTAAAGGTCAGAGCACACGCTTGGATGCTACTCCCCACTCTTCCACCTTGTTCAAGACAGGGTCTCTCCTGTTCACTGTGCCTACACCAGCTATCTCTGGTCCATGGGCTTCTGGAGATTCTATTTCTGCCTGCCATTTCCTCAAATGGTCATATTACTACTGTGCCCAGCTTTTACATGGGTTCTGGGGAACTGGAGTCCAGTAATTAGGCTTACTAGGCAAGCAATCTTCCTAGCCCTGTTTGACAAACTCTTAGACATGATTTGGAGACTAGAACAAAACACAAGAGGCTGGGACAACTATAAATGGAGATCTATAAGCTGAACAAAAATCACTGTCATGTATTTCTGATGGTGAGTGTGGTAGTTTGAAAGAGAATGGCCCCCAAAGGGAATGGCACTATTGGGAGGTGTGGCTATGTTACAGTGGGTATGGCCTTGTTGGAGGATGTGTGTCACTCTGGGGATGGGCTTTGAGGCTTCCTTTACTCAGGGTACCACCCAGTGTGACTGTCAGTTGACCTCCTCCTGCCTTTTGGTCAAGATGTAGCCAGCACCATGTTGGTCAGCACGCTGCCATGCTCCCCACGATGATGATAATGGACTGGACATCTGAAACTGTAAGCCAGCCACCTCAATTAAACGTTTTCTTTATAAGAGTTGCTGTGGTCAAAGTGTCTTTTCACAGCAATAAAACCCCTAAGACAGTGAGTATATAACAAGCAGCATACCAACTGAACAGGCTGAGATGAATTGATTTGGTTTGTGAAAACAGGAAACAATGTGCAACAACCTAGGAGTTCAAACAAAACAGCACAAAAACTCTCCTATCAAGAAACAACCCAGAGGCCTTCTCCGTGCAAAGATGAGCCTTCTTGCAGACAATTACCAAATTCCCAAGTAAAATAGATTACCACTGTCAAATCTTTTAAATAAAATTATATTGCAGAAATCTTCTCAATGGATAGATTTATTTCTACTGCTTTTTATTAAGACTATATTTATGCTTTTTATCTAAATATATAGCTTTTATTTAAATAAAACACTCTAATAGCGTACTTCAGCTTATATCTGACCAAAAATCAGAGTTTGCTTTGCTTTGTCTCATGTGCCCTCATATTAGAATAAAATGACAAGTTCTCAGCAGAAATTTATTTTATGTTGTTTTTGATCTTTAGTCTGCATTAAAAATTAGCTTTAATGAAATATAATTTACATGCCATAGATTTCTATTTCTTTTCTTAAGATTAAAAAATATATGTGCCTCTATATGGGTACAGGTACATACAGAAGCTAGAGGGCATCATGTCCCCTGGATTTGGAGTTACAGGTGGTGAGTGCAGTTAGCCACTGAGCCTATCTCTTCAGCACAGACTGACATTTTGTAAGTGCACAACTCAATAAGTTTATAGCATTGTACAATCATCACCACAATCCAAGTTCAGGAAATTCCTATCATGTCCAGAAAGTTCCCCCACACTCACTTAATAGTTATCCTTCACATCCATTGATTCTGCTTTCCTTCTCTCTAAATCTGACTTTGCTAGGTATTTTATATAGACTGGTACCAGGCAATAGTTAGATTTGTGTCTGGCTTCCTCTACTTAACATACTACTTCTAAGGTTTATCCATTTATCAGTGGGGTTTTTGAGACAAGGCCCCAGTTTGTAGCCCAGGCTAGCCTAAAACTCAATATATAGCCTGGTCTGGCCCCCTAGTCCACAGCAATCTTCCTGTAGTCCAGTTAATTCCACTTAGTTGATAAATTGCATTTCATTCTATGGACATATATTGCTTTGTTTACTTACTTATGAGCTTATGGGTATTCTGGTTGTTTCTAGTTTGGTTATTTGAAATACTCTACTAGGACATTTAAATGTATGCCTCTGTGGACACTTCCCACTCCTGTTTGCTTTTTTTTTTTTTTCTTTTCTTTCTGTTTCTCTTGTGTTGGCTGCTAGGGGCAAAACTGCTGGCTCATATGGTAAATCTGTGCTTGACTTTAGAGAAACTGCTGAACTGTTTTCCAAGCTGGCTCCACATTCCCAAAAGCAGTTACATTTACTCCAATGGGTGTGAAACAGCATCTCATTGTTTAGACTGTATTTTTTTTTCTAATGATAACTGAAATGTCTAATCATTAAACCCTTTATCTATTATAATATTAGGTTTATCTTATGATTGATTTATAAAGTTTCTCTAAATGGGACTGACATAAGATATTTCTAGACACAATGCAATGCCATTTGCTACTGCCCTTATGTACACCTCTATTGTTTGCTTTACAGAAGTTGCAGTTCCTCGGGAATTCACCCCATAGTCTACTTCTAAACCTCTTTATTTTGTTACTATAATTGGTGATAAAGAATTGTGTGGTCAAACAAGTCCAGCAAATAGTTTTTATCAAAGAGTGATTCCCTCTAAGACATCTCAGAGACCTCAATATATCACTGAGCATGAAGAGCCTCCAAACATTTCCCAAAGCTTCCCTTTACATTTTTTTCTTCACTGGTCCCTCTACAGCATATCAGAATAAATGGATGTTGTGAGAAATGCAGATGAGAAATCTGCATTATCTGACAAACTT